AGAGCGAAACTCCGTCTCAAAAAAAAAAAAAAAAAAAAAAAGATATATTGACAAAAATATAAAATAATTAATGAACAAGTCTATTCAATGAAGCATTGTTTTTAATAGTAAAGAATGGAAAATAGGCCAGGCTCAGTAGCTCATGCCTGTAATCCAGCACTTTGCGAGGCTGGATCTCCACAAATACAAAAATTAGCCAGGCATGGCGGTGCACACTTGCACTTCCAGCTACTTGAGAGGCTGAGGCAGGAGGATCACTTGAACCTGGGAGGCAGAGGTCTCAGTGAGCTCAGATCATGCCTCTGCACTCTAGCCAAGGTAACAGAGCAAGACCTCATCTCAAAAAACAAAACAAAACAAATAACCAAACTAACCTTCTCTTTAACAAAGATTATAAAAGGTCTCTTAGCACAGACACCACCCCTAGAACTTCCAGTACACCAGCACCAGCTTGGAGACTATGTCCCCATCAAAGGATGGAAAGAAGAAAAAACTCAAGCTGGCCTAGGAAAGACTCTACAAAACCTGCATCCCAGATGATGGAGCTTCCACGGACAAAACAGGCCCCAGACATCACCTTGGAGATGCTGAAGAAGACAATGCAGAAGGCTAAATGAATCCTGCTTCAGACACAGACACCATTTACTCTTCTAAATCTGCCTTTTTTTCTGTCCTGTTACGTAGACAAACACCTTCTTCCCAGTTTCTAAAAATGCAACTGCTTGGCTAAAAGGAATTAACATAACTCCAGTGGGATTCCTCATTGATGGCATACAGTGAACTGAGATGCCATATAGCCCTATAGGTCACTCTTTGACTAGAAAAGAATGTTGCTAATCATACTCATAATTGTCTTATGTTATTTCCTAATTCTAGTATGCAAAGCCAGAATAAGAGCAATGACCACCTCACCTGACAAAACTACTGCTGCATACATCTGTAATCTTCAGTCAGCAACATCTGATGCAAAAAACTAAAAGGGGAAATGTGGGGTATTAGTCAAATGGTTGGAAAGATTGTAAAATTATAGAATATGGTCACAAACCTTGGAAGGTCAAGAGGTTTGCACAGTTTCAGCAGAAGTTTTGGTTGAAGGCAGCCTAATCCGTTTTACCTTTAGTTGATAAAGAAGGGCAAATGTGGGGTCCTAAAACTACCCATTAATCTTTCATGGGCCAGATTGCTTTCTCAGAGCGATGGCAACCAGGTTTATCACCCACAAATGTTCTTTGCTTTAGGCCTCGGCACCTGGCCTTTAATCTTTAACCATAAGTGTGTTGAATCAGAAACTTTGTTATTAAATCTATGCTGAATAAACACCCTGAGTGCCAGCTGGTCAGGGCCATGGCTGCTCTCTCTCTCAGGGGGGTGTGTGAGTGGCCATGGACACCCCTAGCCTGCTCTTTCAATCTATTCTGTGTCTGAGTGAATTTGTTCATCTGTCACTGGGTCAGGGTCTGCAGTTCAGATATTGACAGTGAAAGACTTCAACACCCCACTCTCAGCATTAAAGAGATCATGTAATTACAAAATGAATCTTGCAGTCCTTGGCCTTACTGTTTCTAAGCTCTGAAGAGTCCACAGGGACCTGGGTTGGTCTGAACCTCCAGCACATTTCACCTACTTCATGGTAAAGTGGTGGCATTGTTCTCCATGCAGTTATCAGTCCTCACTTCTCCTCACTGAGCAGGGCTGACTGCCCTGGGACACCTGTACAACCACCCTGCCCCCACCTGACCATTTCAATCAGAAGTAGCCCAGTATTTCTACAAGGAGGAAATAGCAGCATCAACTCACAACTCCTCCACCACTGCAATTGTAGTGGTACCACCGTAACAACCACTGGGCTGGGGAAGGAACAAAGAGCTGTGTCACTATGGTGGCACCTTCAGCATGCCACAGCCACCATACAGAGAGGAGTCCAGCTCCCTCCCCTGGGAACCCCCATACCACCAGGCTTGGCCCCCAGCTCATGGCTGCAGATCAGTTGTCCCATCCACAGCTGAGCTCATCTACTGGCAGTGGCCCAGACTTTCCCCAGGGAGAGGCTCCCAGAGGCAACCAGCAGCCTTTCTGCCCCTGTCACAGCAGCACTTCTATTCCTCCTGTCCTTCATCTTGAAAAGAAACAAAGAGCCTCAAGGCTACACCTGAACTTACAGCATGCCATAGTCTTTATATGGAGAGGAGACCAGTCTCTCCTCCCAGTGAGCCCTAAACCTGCTGATCCCCTACAAGCAGAGCCCTAACCTCACACCAGCAGTACAGCTGACTTACCCCACAGGCTGAACATTCCCAGTAATAGCAGCTCCACCTGGAGATGGAATCCCCAGGGTCAACCAAAATCCCCTCTGCCACTGCCTGTGCATTAGTACTACCGCTGCTACTCTTTGACTAACAAAGGAGCAGAGATCCTAAGTGCCTTATCCACACCTCAAACAAGCTGCAGTCAGCCACAAAGGAGAAGAGGCCAGTCCGTCTCCCATGGGTCCCACCCATGCCCCCTGCTGTTAACCATGGATGATAGAATCAATGGTGTGAAAATGACCATATTACCAAAAGCAATATACTAATTCAATATAATTCCCATCAAAGTATCACCCTGATTCTTCACAGAACTAGGAAAAAAAAATCCTAAAATTCACATGGAACCAAAGAAGAGCCTGCATAGCCACAGCAAGACTAAGCAAAAAGAACAAATCTAGAGGCATGACTTTACTCAACTTCAAACTATAAGGCTACAGTCATCAAAAGAGCATGGTACTGGCATAAAAATAGGCATATAGACCAATGGAATAGAATAGAGAGCCCAGAAATAAAGCCAAATGCTTACAATCAACTGATCTTTGACAAAGCAATCAAAAACATAAAGCGGGGAAAGGACACCTTATTCAACAAAAGGTGCTGGGATAATTGGCAAGCCACATGTAGAAAGTAACAAACTGAATCCTCATCTCTCACCTTATGCAGAAATCAACGCAAGATGGATCATAGGCTTAAACCTAAGACCTGAAACCATAAAAATCTAGATGACAACATTGGGGAAACCCTTCTAGACATTGGCTTAGGCAAAGACTTCACAATCAAGAATCCAAAAGCAAATGCAGCAAAACGAAGATAAATAGATAGGACTTAAACTGAAAAGCTTCTTCACAGCAAAAGAAATAATTAGAATAAACAGACAATCCAGAGTGGGAGAAAATCGACACAAACTATGCATCCAACAAAGGACTAATGTCCAGCAACTACAAAGAATTGAACAAATCAGCAAGAAAGAACACTAGCCTGATAATAGAGAGTATTTCTTATCAAGTGAATGTGAAATATTCACAAAATTTCATTATAGAATTGTTCTTTAAAAAATACTAGTAAGTATCAGAAAGTAGAAATGTTACAAAAAAGTACTTTTTTTTTAATAAGGCAATGATAATAGAATTTAAAAGAAAGGGGACTGAGAAACACAGAGCTCTTTCATGTGGAAAATTTTCATCTTGCTTTTAAGTAACACTAGGATGATAGTGGAAACACAAAAACAGGACATAAGTATTCTGAAAATGAGAATAAAACAGTACATAACAGAATACAAACTATTCCCAAGTTACAATGGTTCAACTATTTTTCAGTTTTTTGATGGTGTGAAAGTGATAAGCATTCATTAGAAACCATACTCCAAATTTTGAATTTTGATATTTTCCTAGACTACCAGCATGTGGCATAACGCTCTCTCGCTATGCTGAGAAGCAACAGTAAGCTATAGCTTCCAGTCAGCCAAATGATAATCAAGGTAGATAACCCATCTTGGTATCTTCCTGAAGAATATAATGCCTGTTAGCCATCATCAAGTATCAATATTTTCTATCAGCTATTCTCAAGCCTCATGATAGAAGAGAGAGAAATTGACTGCGTCAAGGTATTAGTCCCATTATCCAGCAATTAACTTTAGCTAAATGCTTCAAAAATTTTTCAGGCCCTGTGTGATTTCATCTTTGTACATTAATGGTGAGTACCCATACAACCATTCTGTTTATTTTCAGTACTCTATTTAATAAATATCAATTATTCAATACTTTATTATGAAATAGACTTTTTGTCAGATGATTTTGACAAACTGAAGTCTAATCTAAATGTTCTGAGCATGTTAAAGGTAAGCTAAGCTAACCTATAATTTTGGTGTCTTAAATACATTTTTAACTTACTATATTTTCAGTTTATAGGGGTTTGTTGAGACATAACTTCATCATTCATCGGCGCATCTGTATATGAGGTATAGTTAAAGCAGTGTTCAGAGGAAAATCTGTAGCTTTAATATATTTATTAATAAAAGTGCAGGAATTAAATTATCAGCTTGAAATGTGAAAATTATCTAAAAGAGTAAGCACAATGTATAAGGAAGAACTCAAACTAAGTAAAAGTGAAAGTTAATAAAATGAGAAGCCAAAAAACAGTGGATGAAATCAGTAAACAAAAAATCTTGTTCTTTAATCAACAAAGTAGACAATTAGATATTTTAATCATGAATAAAAGAGAAAACACAAAAATGAATAAGGAATGCTAAGAGAGAAATAACTTGATAATCAGCAAATAAAAAATTGTTAAAAACAATGTTCACATTTATGAAAAACATTGAAAGCTAGAGGGAATGGGGTAATTTTCTAGAAAAAAAATAAAATTCACCACAATTGATTAAAAAAAAAAAAAGTACAGCACTTATGTGACCAACTTCCATAGAAAAAGACAGTTGTCATGTAATTATGTAATACACACACACCATCACTAGGTTTAGATGTTTTCATAGAGAATTTCATCAAACCTTTAGAAATCAGATAGTCCAAAGGTGAATTAAAACTTTCTGTCTGCCAGGGGCCTCATGGCGGGAGGCTGGCCTGAGGGCCAGTACTTGGAGGATGAGGACACAGACAGAGATGAGTACAAGGAAGCCAAAGCCAGCAAAACCTGGCGACAGGGAAGGTGGAGGAGAAGCCACCTAACCCTATGGAGGCCGTGAAGATGGTGACTGTGTTTGACAAGCTCTCCACGAACAGAGTCATCCAGCCAATGGGGATGAGTTCCCTGGGTCGTTTTACATCCATGCAGAATGCCATGGGGGAGACTATGGAGGAGCAGCTCTCCTCGGACCCTGACCGGGACACTGACTGAGGATGGCAGCTCTTCTGCTCCCCCATCAGAACTGGTGCTGCTTCCAGAGACTTCCTTGGGGTTGCAACCCGGTGAAGCCACATTCCCCTAGGCCCACGCCCTCTCTCCGTCTTGGAAACCCCTTCTCTTTATTCCCAAGGTTCTGTTCATGATTTGCCTCTGGTCATTTTCTTATCTCTAGACCTCAATGGTCTTCTCGTGCTAGAATGCAGGGCTCAGCCTTGAATTCCGCAGCCGAAGTACTTTCTTTTGTCTGCACCAAGAGGAATGTGTGCAGAAGCTGCTGCCTGAGGGCAGGGCCCACCTGGGCAGACAGAAGAGCATGCATATGGGAGGGCAGAGGGTTGGGCATGGTTGTGCACAGGGCAAGCACATCTGGGATTGGCAGGCTGGCCAGAGCTGGTGTTTTGGGGCATGTGCTAAACTTCACAGAGAGAAAGAACCTGTCAGAGCTTTGCATATGAGTATGTCAGAACATACACTTCCAAGGTATGCTCTGTTGTTTCTGTCCTGTCTTTACTGAGCGCAGGGCTGGAGGCCTCTTAGACGTTCTCCTTGGTTCTTGTTCAGCTGCCCACTGTAGTATTCACTGTGCCCGAGTTCTTGCTGGTTCTGGCAATTAAATCTCAATCCTTCCCACTGGCTTGGACTACACTTACAAGAAGGAAAATGTCCCTTGTGTGACAGATTGAGATTTATTCCATATACCACACATAGGCACAGAAACATCATCCTGAAAGAAGAAGAGTTTTGAGAAAAAAACAAAACAAAACAAAACCAAAACCCTCAGCCATTTGAGGTGAAACATTAAAACTGAGACAAGATATACTGTACTGAAAGCTTGAGGAAAAAAATGGAGAAAGTTCCTTTGGGAAATCTGAGTATTCGAAAGTGCTTACATCTAAGGAAAAGTTCGGAAATTCGTGGGCATAGCCAAGGTGGTGCACATATTCAGAAAAGGCCCGAGAAGACACTTATAACTCACCTTTAGTAATTTATAGGGTCATGGCAAGAAAAAAGGAAAGCTAAGGCAGAACTACATATGGCTTGGCTACGTGTTGAAAGAGCCCAATACAAAGTCAGTCAGCAAAGTCTGGGAGAAGTTTTTCATATTTTTTTTCTTTTTTGGCTCCTTGCAGTCAAGGATATATTTTTTAAATCACTAAATGCTAAATGAACAGAAGCTAAAGGAATTAAGCTTTCAAAAATCAAATATAAAAAAGAATACAGATATTAAAAAAACAGTTTACAAAAGATACTAAAAGTAAAACTGCATCCCACAGTAAGTAACAAAAATAACCTTGAAGACGGGGAAAATTTGGTTTCCATAATAAACACATTATAATATCCAAAATGTCCAGTTTTCAACAAAAATTAAGAAATATGCAGATAAACACAAAAGTATGACCCATTTACAGAAGAAAAAAAAATACTCTCCATGAGTAAGCATTAATACTGGAAATATTGGACAAAATCTTTGTATTAACTGTCTTAAATAAACTGAAAGAGCTGAAGAAACCCAGGAGAATGACATATACATAAATATGAAATAAGAATTTTTAGAAAGGTGCAAAAAAAGCCAAATTCTGAGGCTGAAAAGTACAGTAACTAAAAAGTTACTATAGGGTTTCAATAGAAGGTTTGAGCAGGTGGAATAAAGAATCAGTCAACTTGATAGATCAAATGAAATGATTCAATCTGAGAAGCAGGAAAACAAAAGAGTGACCAAAAAAAAAAAAAAAAAAGAGCCTAAAGATCTATGTAACAACTTCAAGAATGCCTACATACAGAATCCTGGCTGGGAGTGAGGGGCAGGAAGACTATTTGAAGAAATATGTTTGAAAACTTCCCAAATCTGACTAAATACAAATATACACATTCAAAAAGGTCAACCAACTTCAACAAGAAAAAATAAAAATATATTCACACAAAGACACACTATGATTCAAATTGTCAAAGGCAAAGTGAATATTTGAAAGCAGCAAGAGAAGGGCAATTCATCGTTTACAAAAGATCCTCAGTAAGCTTGACAGCAGCTATCTCATTATAAATCATGGATGCCACAAGAGCTTCAAATGACATTTTAAAGGACTGAAAGAAAAAAAACCTATCAGCCAAAAATTGTATATCTTGGAATATGCCCCTTCAAATATTAAGGATAAATTACACATTCCCAGATTAAAAAAAAAAAAAGCTTTAAATGTTCATGTTTGGTATGCTCTACTTCAAGATATGCTTTAAAAAATACTCTTTCCGGTACAAACTGAAAAACACTAGAAAGTAAGTCAAAGCCACATAAAGAAAGAAACAACTCCAGTAAAGGAATCCACATAGGTAAATATAAAAGCAAGTATCACATTTTTTGTTAAGTCTTTTTTAGTATTCTATATAATTTTAAACACAAATGGGTAAAATAAAGACTATAAATCTATGTTAATGACGCACAATGTATAAAGATGTGATTTGTGAAATTAACAACATGAAGAAATTCATAGGAAACTAATAACAGAGATTTTGTATACTACTGAAGTTGTTGCTTTAATTTACACTAAATTGTTTTAAATTAAGAATGTTAATTGTAAATCCCCATGGTAACCACTAAGTAAATATCTTCTAAATTTACAGAAAGGGAAAAGAGAGGGTAAACTCAGTGATATGCCACAAAATAGCAACTAAACACAAAAGAAGGTGATAATTGTGGAAATTAGGTACAAAGGATGTATAAGTTATACAGAAAACAAAAGCAAAATGCTAGGAGAAAGCCACTCCTTATCAGTAATTACATTAAATACCAAAGAATTATACTTTCCAGTTCAAAGAGAGAGATTGATGGAATGGATTTTTTTTTAAAGTGATCCAACTATATTGTCTACAAGACACTCACTTTAGATCAAAATACACAAATGGGTTGAAAGTGAAAGGATGGGAGAAAATATACTATGTAAGTAATAACCAAAGGAGGTATGAGGTAAATATATCAGACAAAATACAGTTTAAGTAGAAACTGTTAAAAAATACAAAGAACAGTATATGCTGATCAAAAAATTAAACAAGAAGATATAACAATTGTAAATATATGCACACCAAACAACAGAAGTCTAAAATATATGAAGCAATCATTGAGAGAATTAAAGGGAGAAGCAGACAATTACACAAAAATAGTTGGGTTATTTTAAAACCCAACTTTAAATAAAGGATAAAACATCTAGAGAAAATATCAATGGAGGAAATAGTGGATTTGAACACAACTATAAGCAAAAACTATAGAGAATACTTCTCTCAAAAACTGCAGAATACACATTCTTTTCAAGTAAGCATGGAACATTCCCCAACATGGATGATATGTTAGGGGAGATTCGAGGGGGATTAGAGGGGAATTTGGTCAAAGAAATATAGGAGAATGAGACATTCCTCTGTGAATGTTTTCCTGCCTAACTGTACATTTTTAATTAAGTTAATCTTTTACATTTTCAAAGTGTGATATTAAGCAAACAAAGATAAGTTATTACAAGAGTCTAAAACTGAATGCAATGAGAAACAAGTGAATCCAAATATATTTCAAATGAATGAATGACTGAATCAAACTTTAAGGGAAAATAATAGTTTGATTAATTTTTGACTCTGTTTTATTTCTAGTTGAATTTTAAACATACTTTGACTACATACCATCCCTTGAAAAAATAAAATATCTGCAAAAATTGTTAAATCTTCATGATAGGCTTTTTTCTTTTTATATTAGTATGAATATAACAATTCTGAAACAAATGTGTGTGTATTTTAAGCCAATGAGTAAATACTAATATATTTATATTGCTAGAATCCCAGATTCTCACTCTGAAAGGACAGATACACTTATGGAATAACACAAGGAAAGAAGAAGCCCACTGAGTTACATTAGATCAGTATTATCAATATAAATGTGCAATGTGCTCTCTCACCTACTCTTCCTCTCTCTTAAAAAATATATAATATGTGCATATTATGTTATATACATATACATATGTGTGTCTATACATATACATAAATACATATACACATTGAAGATTAACAAGTGCCAGTAAAAATATTAACTTTCTTTGTATTAACAGGTGTTAATAGAAAGTAGTAGTAGGTCCTAGGATAAAAGTCATAATTAAATCTCAAGGTTAATGAACACATCATCACCTATAATCTTACCAAAAATAGAATCAAACATATGGCCTAGTCAAACCTCTGGATTCAACTGTCATTTGGATAAAATGCAAATGGTAGTGGAAATGTCGATCTTCACTGAGACTCTAATCAGCAAAATTTTGAGTGTGAAAATCAAGTGACAAAAATCCAAAATTTTTCAAAAAATGTATTTTATGAAAAAGAAAATTTTGAAAAGAAACCTGGATATTAGAAGAGATTTTAAAAACATGACAAATGAAAAAAATGGGCAAGACTAACTCATAATGTCTTGTAATGCATACATGAAAGATAAAGCTGTGAAAATGCAAGGAATTCTCTATTATAATAATCATGATTATAGTTACTTTTCAGGAGAAAGGTGGCCACAGTTGAGGAGAGTCACATAGAGGATTTCAGGGCTGGCAAAGTTCTATATCTTGACTTGGGTAATGATTACAGGGATGTTTACAAAAATCAATTAACATATAAGTTTGTTTCGTGCCATTTTTTGTACTGTGTGTTTTTTTAAATTAAAAATAAATAAAATAAAAATCAAGGCTTTATTATCAAGTGGTAGGACAAAGTCTCCAATCTATAACCACCTTTGTCTGGAAACCTGCATGTAACTAGTGTTGCCAGAGCAAATCCTGACAGTGCACTCATACTTTTAACACTGAAACACAATAAACAAGGGAAATTTTGCTCCTCTAAAACAGGGCATCTTCAGGGAGTCAGGACAGCTCATAAAGTTTCTGTCTGTTGCATGATACTCCCCTGTGCAAAGAGTTACACAAAATGCTGCCATAGCAAAGGTAGTTAAATAACAGCACTAATTGTGCTTGGGTAGTGACCAAGTAGAACTTCGGAGACCTGGCATTGCCAGCCAGAAATCACTTGTTATGGGAATTGTCTGCTGGAATCACTTTAGTTTTCCCAGGGTAACTTAAGGGAAAAATGGTTAATGGGTCACTTGGGGGTGGCATCTTTATCGGTAAATTACATTTACTGTCTCTTACAAAGAATTTTATTTTTGGCCATGAAGCCGAAAGGCAGCTCCTGAATAACAAGGGAAGCAAATAATCATTGAATAAAAATAGCAGAAAGAAAAAGCTGTGCAGAGGAATTTGTGCTTTTAAAACTCGTTCTACATTATGAATTCTACATCAGAAATATAAACCATAGCCTCATCTCAGGCACTTAAATACACTGAAGCTGCCAAAACAATCTATCATTTTGCTTATCCGCTTATCAACTGCTTCATGGCAAATTGGAAGGAAAAAGCAATGGAATGAATCAAATGAAAGCCACAGAAATCTAGGTGGGAGAAATATTTATGACATTTGTCCATAAAAAATTTTAATTAGCAATGTAATGCAATGTATTAACACCAATAATTGCAGTAATACAGATCATACAAATGATAGTTTCAGTCTGAACAGAACTATCCAAAAGTTAATTTTCTATAGTAACAATTTTAAAATAAACTATCACTTCCTAAAACACATAAAATGGTCCATGAGAATACAATGAGCGAAAAAAAGCCCACAAATTCAGAGCAAACACAAATTAAGAAGCAGCAAGTATCTAATATTCAAACATAGGC